TTAAAAAAAAAAAAAAAAAAAAAAAAAGCATCCTACCCCTCACCCTGAAGTACATGTATAACCACCTCAAGTGCTAAACTCAGAAAAAGGCTGCACTCTGACCACCAAAAAGAGTTTAAGTACGTTGCCCATCACAAAATCTGCAGTGGAGACAATCCATGTCTTTAGGACAGCTTTCAATAGCCTTCGCTAAAATCCCTTCTTTTCTCCTCCTGCTATTTCATCTTATTCCCTACGCACTTCTACTATGAAGTAGGTGCTGCCATGAATGACGGGGTGCCCCCAGCAGCTGAGGGGGCACAGCAGCGCTGGTGGCAGCAGCAAGCAGGGAGCTCTCACAGATGCTGCCAACTCTGTCAGCGGCAGGTGAGCGTCAGCAACCACCCACAGATGCTGTGTGCACCCCCTACTGCGCATCGCCAATGGGTGCTGCCATGGCCACCTTCACATCCTGTATTTTCTCCCTAGACAAGGTTGAAACTACATACAGATAACAGCAGTACTGTGGGAGACTAACATGACCATGTTGTACAGCCTGAGATTTCACACAAAAAGCTGTTAAAATTAAGGCTGAACAGGCAACCCCAGTTCTATTCAATTTCTGAGAGCTCAGACCTGCAGTATTGTCCTTAGTGTAATTTTAGCACAAATGGGGAGTGGGGGAAAGAAGGGGAGGTACAGCTACAGGGATATAACCATACTGGTAAAAGCTACAACCACAGTTGAAAGTTGTACTTGCTCAACTCTAGAAGAATTATTAGATTAGTACTGTTTCCTCTGGCTTTAAAGTGGTCAAGATGTGGGAATCATATGAGACTTACATAGTAGTGACAGTTTCTCCAGAGGACTAAAAAGTAAACAAAAACAAACAAGCAGAAACCAAACACACACACACAAAACCACAACCCACAAGTCGAGATACTCACTGTTTGGTAGCAATAGGTCCTCTTTCATCAATTGGCTCACCAACTACATTCATTATTCTCCCAAGTGTTTCTGGACCAACTGGAATTTTTATAGGTGCCCCCGTGTCCACAACTTTCTGTCCACGGGTCAAGCCTTCAGTACCATCCATGGCAATTGTCCGAACGGTACTTTCACCTACATGTATAAAAAAAAAATCTTAAGTTGTGCATGTAAAGACAGACATTACTGCACAGGTCAAAACATTTTAAAAACTTAGTACCGACTGCAGATAAACTACTAAAAAATAACTTCATACCTCAGACAGTTTATATACTGTTAACTTGTTCACCCCCAAAGAAAGACAATCAGCTACAATATTTCTAAATTCACAGGAAGCTTAAAATAATACCCAAAAGGTTTTTACTAAAGTAGTACTCCTCAATTAAGAAGTAGGAGGTGCGATGATACATTGGTCCATATCATAATCTACACCAACAAAAGGAAAGTTGACATTATCAGCAATTAGCCTTTTTTGCCCAATGTAGCCGATACTGTCACCAATAAATGCTGCATGCACGCACACAGCCGCAGCATGCACAAGGCCAGCCTGGCAGCTTGGAAAGCAGCACCTGTCTGGTAAGTCTGTTGGAGGGGAAGATCAAGGCCCCTGCGGTGAGGGAGGGAGAGGGGCTGGGGCCACCTACCCCAAGCACAGCCCCAGCCTAGCCCCCCCTGCCAGGAAGAGCCCGGAGCTGGCCCTGGCACCAGCCTATAGCAGCAGCCCCCCCTTGCCCCGCACACAGATCCAGGGGGCACTCACTCCCCCTCCCGCCCCCC